ACATTAAAGCATGTCAACATATTCTGTTACACCAAATACACAAAATAATAATCTTTAAAATAGCATCATATGACCCCTTTAAGGAAAAAATAGACACAAAAACTGGGATTTGCGTGTACATTAAAGCATGTCAACATATTCTGTTACACCAAATACACAAAATAATGATCTTTAAAATAGCATCATATGACCCCTTTAAGGAAAAAATAGACACAAAAAGTGGGATTTGCATGTGTGTGTGATAAACATTATGCAAATACCCAAATGTAATAAACGAGTGATTGTTTGTAATAAACTGTTGATTGAGCTTAACTTGTGCTAAACCTAGAACATTCATTTAATCTACTTCAGCTGCGCTACAAACTTCTGATCAGATGTCTTCCTTCAAAAATCAAGCATGAGAGGATGACTAAGAAAACATGTCACTATACAGTACAGTTCAAACCTGACTGGATAAGTTATGTATTGTGCAAGATGACTGTTATTGTGTTGCCTGAAGCGTTTGGTGGTTTAATCATTTCAGTTCATGACTAAAATCACATGGTCACCCCCAGAAGAGCATAATAGCTTTTTGGAACATCAAGAAATGAATCAAACGTATCTGGAACAGACTTTCTTAGTTTTACAGCTTTTGTGTCTTAATAATGTGGGTGAATAAATGAGTACAGCTGGTACTTTTTAGCGTGTGGTCATTTTGAAATCTTTCCCGTGACTCCGTTCAACAAGGAAACATGCTGACAATAGTTTAACATACTAACTGAGGAGCATCTGAGATGTTTGGGGACACAAAGTTACTCCCAGTGCCACCAACTCACAGAAATGAGGCGACCGGAGCGGTTAAAATATGGGTGGCACACAGAGCAATCCAAATGACCCATTTTGCCACCCCTCACCCATCTCAGCAGATGGCATGGTCACGGTCCAGCGTTACAGGACAGACAGGGGAAGTAATGGCCAGGCCTGTGCTTTGTAATGATTACAGTGGGGTTGGGAGTCAAAATGACCAGAAGTTGTGATGATCATTAAAGACAATGAACAATAAAAAGCTAACGGTTGCATTCTGGTGAAAATAAACTGAGCAGTTAAACTCAGAGGTTTTTCATCATTATTCATCACCTTTTTTACTTAAATGGTCCTGCAATGTGACAAATTGTTATTTAAATGTACAAATATTCCCTCTAAATATAGTTTAAGATCATCATGTGTAATTATAAAAGAATCACAAAATGCTGTTTAAAGCAGTTTTTAATGAAGTATGACCAGCAACATTTATCACGTGATCGGTCAATGTCCAACAGTATGCAGTGATGCAATTAATCTCATGCTTGTTAATTATTTCATATTAAAAATGACGCAGTGGCCTCAAAATGTATTTGGACACTCTTAGGATTTTATAACAAAATATCAAGTCAAATGGCATTTATTTTAAATGAGCACGAACACCTTTCAAGCACACAATGGTTTGGTTCAATTATTTATATATTTATATTATTATAGATTTATTTATTATTTTATTGGGAATTTATATCTAATGCAATGACATTCATTTATTTTAAATGTGACTTAAGTGCCCACATACTTTTTGGAGCCACTATATATATATATATATATATATATACAAACATTAATGTAGCAGAGCTCAACTACATGAAGTCATGTTTGCCACAATTTACGTCAAAAATTGTAATTGCAATTGCAAATCAGTTGCGGTTTCATTTACAAAGAGGCAGAAATATAAGGAAAGTGAAAAAAGTACAGCAGATTTCTGTAAGCATATAACTTTTGATTGTCATAATTCAGTGTGATTTTCAGTTTTGAATCGAAGTGTGAAACTCATCTCATACGCAGGAAAATGAATCTGTTCAAAGACGGTATCGTCACAGAAGGTGTGACTTTAATATCTCCTAAAAGAGCTCTTTTAGATAAAGTGAGGAATCACTCTGGTGAAGCAAACATATCAGACAGCTTTTTAGAGAAGACCCTGACTGATAAGAACGCAAACTAAATTTAATTCTCAAAGTGGGAGTGACTCTCCACTTATCTGTTCCTTTGGAAAATGCATTTTAGGTATATGAAGTGGAATTTACTTAAAAGGGAAGTAAAGTTTGTTCTGGGGAACGGACCAAAGCAGTGAGTGACAGATGAGTGTTTGTGCTGTGACTAAGTTTCCCCAAAGCCCACTGAAACATTCTAAAAATGCATTAGCGGGACCTCAGTCTGTACATCACAGGCTATTTATAGACCAGGCGCCTTAATGTTTCCCCAAAAGATTTCTTCCAATTATCTCTGCCAGTGTGTACCGAACCAACTAGAAAGATCTTAAAGTGATAGTTCACTAAAAATGAAAATCCTGTCATCATTTACTCGCCCTCATGTTGTTTCAAACCTGTATGAATTTCTTTCTTCTGCTGAACACATACAAAAAAAGATATTCTGAAGAATGTTGGGTTAAATTGCTGGTATCCACTGACTTCCATGTTGTATTATTTCAGAATTATTTTTGGGTGAACTATCCCTTTAAATGAAAAGCTATTTTCTATGGCTCTGCGGGCTTTAGAAGTAATTCAGCCATAAAATCTCGCCCGTTTCTGAACCATTTGATGGCATAACAGACAGGCTGTGGTACTCAGAGACGACTCTGTGTGCACCTCTGTTATCTAAGACATCGAGTTCCATCATATCTGAGAGTCCTCAGGTCACAAACACTCCAGCTCTGCACAACAGTGACTCATGCTCTCCCGGGACCTGTGTGGGAGAACAGTCCAGATATTCATCACAAACCAGTGTGACTCATCTCAGAAAATATCTATCCATCTATCCATCTATCCATCTATCCATCTATC